ATGCTCTGTACACCCCTTCTCCCTTCCCCCCTAACGAATAGCATCATCATGCATACTGTGGATATGTCCCTCTGTAGGACCCAGCAATCACTCACACAGTATCATGCAGCATTTAGGCTTAGGCTGTACACTCTCACCCCATGCATGCCACTCTGGAAGCATATCAGAGCACCTTTAGCAGTAGACTGCGAGCACCGAGGAGCACCACAGAACGCCACAGGAGGTCTTTTCTTCCTGTGGCCATCATACTTTATAACTCCTCCTCCTTCTGCAGGAAGGATAATTAAACTAAAACACCATGTGCAATATTAGGCTAATGTCATAATCTCATAACATTTGCTGTTTTAATATTTAACCTAATTTTATTTAGTACGATGAGATTTGTCACCAAATGACTTGTCACTGTCACAGGCTGCTACCTATTCTCTACTGGGTCACAATACGTTACTTTAAAACTTTGTATATTGTATATTGAGCTATTGTATATTGCATACTTTTATTAAGATGTATCTGTATTTTGGAGCAACCTGGCAAAAAGATTTTCCTTCGGGATTAATACAATTCTATCTAATCTAATCTAATCTACACACTTTAACATTATACCTAGATTTTACTGAATAGGGATTATAATAATAATAATTATATAATAATATATAATATAATACTATTATTATATAACACAGAGTATCTCTTTAAATAAAGTTTACCACTTAAATAAACATAGCATAGTAAAAGAGGGTAGATAAAAGATTTGTAATCTTTTTTTCTGGATTCATGTAATGGAAAGATATGTGACCAAAGTTAAGTGTTTTTTATATGAACAGTCATTTTGAAGTTGTTTGTAAAGCTGTCATGTTTTGTTTTCTTCCATATAAAGGGGAACAATCGGAAAATTGACAATTTGGAAAATGAAATGAAGGAGCAAAGCGAGTGGACTTTTCCTTTAGAAATCTGCTACAACCAGCTGAACTTCTCATGCACCTGCTTCTCTGAGGTATGACACTCTAAAAACCATTAAATGCACGCACATCTTATTAAGTATGCAAAGTAGATTTAAATACTCTGAATTATGTGTTGACGCGTCATGTTTACATAACACATTGGAGCACTGTATTGTTATGACTGTTTCAGCATAAGTACCTAAACTGAGAACTAATGACCTTTTTCTTTCATAGGGGCAACACAACGAAGCGTTCTGCACCAGTAAGTCTCATTACCTGTCAGACTTTGTGTCATATCTAAAGGGTGTTTGTGTATATTTACCAACTACTGACATTTTAAAACATGCTTTAGTCTAAAGTTCAATCTTTAAATGTATTGCCCGCAATGTCCTGTCATAACAATATCTTCTTTTTACAGCGGACTGCAGCAGGAAAGAAAGTAAGGAACTACAATAAATGAAATACATTTGAATGCAACACTTGTATGCTGCATCTAAATATTCCTGTCCTCTGTTAGAAGGTGTAGGTGATCAACAAGAGATGAAGAATGACCCTACAAAGTCTGCTAACGACAACGGTACAAACTTTATTGTTTCTTCAAAATAACATGATAATGTCTGACCTGTGCTGCAAGCTGTATGTTTTTAGTAGTTATGTTTTTAAACTGTGTTTTGCTTTTAACTATGTTTGTAAAAAAACTGTTTTTAACCTTGTTGTACGGCGACCTTGAGTGCCTTGAAAGGCGCCTTATAAAATAAATGCATTATTATTATTATTATTATTATAAGTTAATATGTAAAAATGTATCGGGAAAACCAAAAGACAAAACTGAGAGATATGTATATGTAGTCAGAAGATTGCCTCAAGAATAGATT